ATATAATTAAATGGAACTTTTTCTCTTGCAGTATGTTACAAACTGAACATAAACGCATAGTTATAAATGGCGAACGGTGAGGCCACGGCACACGAGACACGGAAGCATGCGACAAATGATAATATAGATAATGCAATTAAATACTTAAACTAACATATATTTAAGCTTAAAAATAGTTTTACAGCCGTTCACAACATACATGATATTAGACATTAGAAGAGTAAGTATCAATTCATTAGTATCATATTGCTTATAGAGAAAAGGGAATGTTTCATTAAAGTAGGAATAGAGCTGCAAAGTGGCCATATAAGCATTCAAGTGCTATTCAATGCTTACAACAATGAGAATTCCGCACAACATTTCAAATTACAGTGTGTACTAATGATACAATTGCAGATTCAATAAACTCAGCAGCAAAAGAAGGTGCTTTCCCACAATCATACAAATATGGTAAGCAAATGAATGCATGCGCCAATTAGAACATAGTATCCAATTACAAATTACACCGTCTGCTACTGAAGCTGCAGATTCTATAAAATAAGAAACCAAAGAACTGAGGAAGGTTCTTTCCCATACTTGGATAACTGTGGTACATGTGCAATTATATACTTAGTTTGTTTTAATGTATGCTTTAACCATACAACAAGCCCTAATTTTACCTTAAACTCTTACCTGCATTAAATGCACAACATCCGATGCCCGGGAAAACCTAAATGAGTATTCTATTGCATACATGTGCACCGGCGGGCGGGCGCCCGATCCCACCAAATTTCTATCCAATCTATTTCCAAAAATGTATAAAATATACTGAAAAAAAAAGGGAATTTTATATGATCTACAAATTTCCTCCATCCTACCGTCATTGTACAACCAGTTTACACACACACACACACACACACACATATATATATATAGAAAACAAGTGACCTCATGTGATTTTCAATAGAAAGTTCCCTCTGCACCAACACATGCCCAACTAGGTATTACTTTAGAAATCCTCGGCCTCCCTACTTTATCGTCCTGATTACGCGTTTGCCCACGTCTGTAGCCCACAGCCAACCAAGATTTCCGTAAAATGAAAGAATAAATACATGAACTTGGGGACCCAGTGAATAGCAGCAGACTTCATCAAACAACATTCTCAGTCAAACAAGAAACTCATAAATGGACGAGTTCCTTAAAGCAGACACCGAACAAAACTGAACAACCCAAAAAATGCAAGCATACACAACAGAGAACAACCCATTGAACACATCTTTCACAACATCATCAGGAGAATGCAAAAGGATAAACAAAAGGAACAAATTAAAGAAATCAACAACAAGTTCCAACCAAAAAAAACAATAGAAACCTGGGATTTATAATAACTAATACGCTGGCGTAGGTGCTCGACTTCTTTTGTCCGATGCTCTATTAAGGCCACGAGTGCTTCTTCCTGCTCATTCCTAATCTGCTCCCCCAGTTTTTCTTCATTAGATTCCTCTTCAGGAAAGCCATCATCGTCTTGTTCTTCTTCCTCGGGTTCGATTTTGGGCTTCTTCAAAAGTGGACGATAACCGCTCATATTATTTGATTCGAATGTGATTGACGGCTATTCTTCCTTCTCTGCTCCGATGATGATTCCAGATTCTCCTATCATTGGGAACAATAAATTTTGTGTCGACAAGAAATGATTTCCGTTTCCAAGTATGTGCATCAGTTACAACTTACAAGTAGGGTTTAGAAAATGCTTAGACGACCTCCTTATTATATAAGTACCAGATTACCACTGTACTTAATATTGATGATACATGATTATTGATAAATCTAATAATTTCTATTTTAATTTTTAATTTTTTTTTATTTTATTTTATTATTTTTTTTTTTGTCGGACAATAGAAATACTCATAACACAAACTAAAAGTTCGAATACAAACAACTACTCAAACACCTTGACCACTGAGAGGACTACAAACAACCTTGTAGCCTATACAGCTTGTAGTTATTTTTACTAGAGTTAAATCAAAATATTCAATCCCCAAGTCGTATCTCAATGAAGGTTAGTCGGATTAAATTGTACGATTATTCAATCACCAAAAGAGAAAATAAATCCTAAATACTCTAATTCAATTGTTTTTTTGTTTCGATTAACTACTACGATTCTCAAACAATGTAAATAAACAATTATCAATTCTTAAAACAAGTTTCTTAATAGTATGAGAAGGCAAGGGAATCGGGGATGATTGTTCTCAAATCAAATGCAAATACCAAGCAAAGATCGTTTGGCTAAATGGTTCGATCAACCTACACATCTAGAGATTAATCCTCAGTAACTTTTCGTAACAAGAGGGTAAACATAGACGGCAAATCAAACAAACAAACAACCATAGGCAATACAATTACGAACAAGCCTACTTTAATCGAACCTAGATCGACCGACTTCTCTTCTTTTGGTTCTACAAGTCGATTAAATTGGTCATATGGTGATCAAGCATCTAACCGTGGGTTAAATTCAACTCAAATAGATTGAACGAAAATCAAAAGCAAGATAACCACACGAGTACGAGTAATCATCCTCTATCCCTAGCTAATGGATTTAGCTACTCATGTCAAGATGAACAGAAAACATTATATCTATCAAATACTCCAAGCTCATAATCAAAACGAGATAAAAGCTTACGATTAATAAAAGTCAAGTGTTGAATCTCAAGCACAATTCAAATTCACAATGAAATACTTAGGGTGTCACTCTAGAATATCTCGATCTAAGCCATAGATAGAAGAAACAAGTTTTAATATCTGATACAAACTAAGAACGCAGTCTCAAAATGAATAATAAACCCTCTCCCTCCAAACCTCCTTAATATCCCCGTCCAAATAAATGTATAAAAATCATATCCATAATTTAAAAATCCCGGGCACCGCGGCGCGACACGTCAACATGGCAAAGCGTGAGGAGAGTCGCGGGCTTTGACGCGGCGTGAAGACACTGAAGTGCCGCGGCGCGAGACTCGCCGCGGCATGGCACCAAGAGGTGCAGAATTCTTTGTCCGCCCGTTAGACGTGCCGCGAGGTGGCTCGCGGTGTGAGAGAGCTGGGGTGCCGCGGCGCGAGACCCGACACGGCGTGGCATTTGAGAGTACGTTCTGTAGGCCCGTTAAGGGTGCCGCGCGCGTCGTTGCGGTGTGACAACTGGAAAAGACTCGTGTTGCAGACATCATCGATATGGACATGCACTTAGTAAAATAGGGACTGGATGAACTCCAAACACCTGGTCAAAGATCCGAACCTGCACACCTCTAAGAACAAGAAAATACTTGAAAACAGAGAAAAACAGCAAAAAATATGAAAATAGATAAACAAAACAACACACATGAGACAAACGACTGGAGGACCGCAAATCCTATCAAAAAAACTAAAACGGGGATAAAAAATTAAGAAACTAACAAAAAAAAAGATAACAAAAATAGGACAAACAACACACAAATTAAAAGTAGCTACTAGACATAGCCACGGGCCAACCCGGCTCATCGGCCCGGCCCTAAACTAGTCCAGGCCCGGCCCTTAACCGCCCAGATTTTGCCGGTTTATTGAACCAGAACCTTGGCCATGCGAGTAAGTTCTGGTTCTTAGTTTTTTTTTCCGGCAGTCTGGGCCGGGCCGCGGGTTGGAAGACGGGCGACGTTTGTATTTTTTGTTTTTTTTATGGGCCGGGCCAGGCCCGAACCGGCCAAAAACGGCGGTTCGGTGGCCCGGCGATTCAGGGTCGATTTAATGAATCGACCCATAGAAATGGTCAGGCCAGTTACGGGCCATCAAATTGAGGGCCGTCGACCCGGCGAGCTGGGTTGACGGCCCGTTGACTGGCCACGACTAGCATCTACACAAGCCGAGACCTCAATTGTGAACAACAAATACACCAACTAACTAAACAACAAAATAAAACCAAAGAAAAGGCCTCAATCACTGACACAAGTCCTAGAAGAGTCCTCACCCATGTGCCTAACCATCAACTCCCTTGAGCAACTATGAAGTCTAACCAGTCTTTTATAGCATCCTTGACAATGAAGTGCTCTAGATTCTAAGCCTGCTAAAAAACTCACAAGTTTCTTGCCTTCCAAAGCCACCACATAATGTAGGTAGATAGTTGTATTCTAGCCACTGATGATTCTTTGTTGTCCATTGAACTCAGCCACCACCACCCGTCTTTGAAGTTCATATGCTAAGAAGGTATGCTCTCTTATTGGACAAGAGCCAACTTTCAGGTTCTAGTAGCTCTAGGGCATTTAAAGAACATGTGTTCCATTGTTTCATCAGCTTCCCGACAACCTTTACATTTAACATCAATTTGAATCCCTCTGGTGATGATGTTAACTCCAATAGGCAAAATTCCAGAAAAACACTTTCAAATGAAGTGTTTGATCTTGCCTTTAACCCTTAGTTTCCAACATTTCATTCTTGCAGACTTGTTTGTCAAAGCATATCTGCTACATTCAGCCTCTGCCAAATAAGAACATTTTTCTGTGATCAAAGAAGACTATACTGAAGCTACAGAGAAATTCCCCTCAGTATCAAAATTACATCTCCACTTATTATGCAAATTAGGATTTAAAGTTTGATCTCCATGATTTTAGCGGCATCTTCAGGCATAAAAATATTTGAGATTGGGTCAAAATTCCATCTTGTTCCACCCTCACAGGTCAAATCCTCAACCCAGACTGGTCTCTTTAACTTCAAGTCTTAATTCAAGTAGTGTTCCTTTCAACTCAGGAACCCGTTATAATCAGTAATTTTGGTTTTCTTACCATCTCTTATCACAATTTCCACTCCAGTTCTCAATACTGGAATTAAAGAAACCCAAGAGTTTAATAACCAAGAGGCATTACACTTCTTCTGACAATCTAGCAATGAAGAGTAATGAAAATATCTATGTTTAAGAACTTTACTCACCAGAAGCTCCGGCTGAGTTAAAACTCTCCACAGTTGCTTGATAAGCAGGTCTCTGTTGAACAATTGGATATCTTGAAACCCCAAGCCCCCATCCTTTTTAGCAATGTTAATTTCTTCCAAGCTCTCCAATGCAATCCTTGTTGCTGGTCATCCTCTTTACACCACCAGAAATTAGCAAAAAGCCTGCATCCTTGCAAATGGTCACAGGTAAAACAAAATTAAACATAACAAATACACAAAGAGAGTTGAGACTGTTGAGTACATACTTAACCAAAACATCTTTCCCTGTAGTGGAAATAAACTTATTATTCCAGCTTTAAATTATGCTTCTAACTGCCTCCAACACAAAGGAGAAAGCATCTCTCTTTGACCCCCCCCCCCCCCC